AACAACAACAACAAGTTCATGGTCTGAAACAACAACAACAAGTTCATGGTCTGAAACAACATGTTCATGGTCTGAAACAACATGTTCATGGTCTGAAACAACAACATGTTCATGGTCTGAAACAACAACAACAACATGTTCATGGTCTGAAACAACAACAGCATGTTCATGGTCTGAAACAACAACAACAACAACATGTTCATGGTTTGAAACAACAACAACAGCATGTTCATGGTCTGAAACAACAACAGGTTCATGGTCTGAAACAACAACATATTTATATTCTGAAACAACAACATATTTATATTCTGAAACAACATGTTTATAGTCTGAAACAACAACATGTTTATAGTCTGAAACAACAACAGGTTCATGGTCTGAAACAACAACAACAGGTTCATGGTCTGAAACAACAACAGGTTCATGGTCTGAAACAACAACAACAGGTTCATGGTCTGAAACAACAACAACAGGTTCATGGTCTGAAACAACAACAACAGGTTCATGGTCAGAAAAAACAACATATTTATATTCTGAAACAACAACATGTTTATAGTCTGAAACAACAACACCACCACCTCCATGGTGGTGGCAGTTTCTCACCTTTCTCACCATCTGTCCTGCAGCTTTTCTAGCTATGAAACTCTCCGGTACTCCGACAGCTGCAGACATCTTCTGCTCTGCAGCAGTCAGCAGAGTGAACTACAACAGAACAACAACGATGGTTAGTGACTCAGATCTAAGAGAAAGGTGAGGTCATAAAGTCCATCAGTGAGTGTTACCTGTCTGAAGAACACCATCCAGTCCGGCCTGCACTGTGTGATCATGTCGTAGGGCGTGACCAGGTAGACCAGGTGGAGGCAGCTGTTGAGCAGCAGACCCTCCAGACCTTTAGAGAGGTCTTTGTACAGAATGTCACTGTAGGTCAGATCCACTGAGCCTGAGGAGTCAAACATCTGCATGAAGGTAACTGACAACAGAGTCCAGCTGATCAATGGTTTAGTTCTGCAGGTATCTGGTCATTAAGTATTGGACACATTAACATGTTGACCTGGTGATCAATGAAGTTATTACAGTTCATCCTGAATGATGAACCACTTTAGTAAAATATTAGCAGACAGTTAACTGAATACAGAATAAACCATACATTTATTATATTGATTAAAAAAAACTTAACCTGAAATTAGCTGGTAAAAAAATATAACTTATTTAACTTTCACCAGCCACTATTACTCATTGATGTATTCTGGTAATGTTTTTATTTTTCTGATCTTATTTCATCATTAATAATCATGGAGCTTCTGAATAAGAAGTTGGTAGGATTCATCCTGACAGGAACATGAATGTGTGGACACGATTTCATGACAATCCATCCAACAGTTATTCAAATATTTCTGTCTGGAACAACGTTTCCGCTAAACCAAAGTGTGGTCTCAAAGTGTGATGACTTCCTTTCAGTGGGAGACAGACTCACCTTTAAAAGGTAGCTCTACCTGTCGGTAGGAGACAGACTCACCTTTAAAAGGTAGCTCTACCTGTCGGTAGGAGACAGACTCACCTTTAAAGGTAGCTCTTCCCAGCTTGGTGACCTGCAGACTTTGAGCCGTCACCGTGATGAGATCTTTGTCCTTCAGGAGGTCCACACTCTGCTGCACCGCCTCCGTCAGACTCGTCTCTGCACACAGGTGCTTCTGCTGGACGGACAGCAGCGTCCCACACAGGAAGTCCCTCACCCGGTCCACCGTCGAGGTGATCTAGAAACACATGAATGTGGATATTCCCGATCAGCTGCCTCGGGGGGTGAGCTCACGTTTGGATACGAGGAAAGAATAAACAGATGTTTACGTTTAATCCGATGAGCGACAGGATGAGACTCAGGAGGCCTTTTCCATCGTCACGCATCAGGTTGCTGTAACAGTTTTCCATCGGAGCACAAACGAGTGTTTTAGCCTGAGAATAAAGAGAATATAAAGGTCAATACACAACGGTGTAAACCATCATCTCCTGCAGAGTTGGAACAAGCGTCACCTCCTCTTTGTGCAGCAGTGCCAGAATCTCATAAACTGACTTTTTATCCAGTTTTAAATGTTTATGATACACTTTTTAGATCTTGATGGTTTTTACCAGATGAAGGATTTTAGTCGTTCGATGTCTGGATCTTAATTAATCAGAGAAACAAGCTAAGCTAACGTTAGCATCAGCTCGTCTCTCGAGTACAGCTGGTATTGTTTAGACTGAGAGACGTCTAGTGGCAGAAAACTACATGTTGTGTGTTTAAATATCCTTCTTTAATGTAACTATTCTACAGGTTTATGTTCTGCTTATGTCAGTCTGGTGGATGGCTCTAAATACTACAATACCCAAGAGCCTCAGCTGCTGTTGCTAGGCAGAAGACAGTCGGAAGCGTCAGAAACAGACTGAAGTTAAATGAATTTATGCTGCAGATCTTCCACCTGCCTTTAGTGGAGCATGTAACAGAATGACAAGCTCTGTGATTGGATGAGTTCTGCTGAAATGCACCCTGGGAGTCGTAGTTGACTCTCTCCTCACATCTCTCAGTTACCATGTGTCTGTCCTTGTCCTGCAGGACGAGGACGCTCTCTCCCGCGGTGTCGATCCCGGCTCGACCGGCTCGGCCGACCATCTGTTTGTACTGACTCCTCTTCAGGAAGTCTGAGGCCACGAACGGAGAGCGCAGGATCACTCTGAGGAGAGCAGGACGTCAGCACACATTTATATATGTATTTAATAACATGAGACACGGACTACGTTTACATGTACATAAACATCTTGATATTCTGATAACGTTCTGCTCACCTGCGGGCAGGTAGGTTGATCCCTGCAGCCAGTGTGGAGGTGCAGGTGAGGAGACAGAGCACCTCGTTGGAGTATGCCTCCTCCACCAGCTTCCTCTCCTCAGAGGTCAGTCCGCTGTGGTGATACGCCAAACCGTATGGCACCGTCCTCCTGAGCACCGGACACATGGAGCCGTTACCGCTGGCCTTCAGCTCTCTGAGGAGGACGGCCTTCTCCTCTTCCTTGAGGTGGAGGAACTCTCTGTGAGAGAGGAGGAACTCTGTGAGTCAGCCGGTCAGAAGAGACAACACTCACTCCCTCAGATATAGTTCAGTCACTCACTCCTTCAGGTATTTGCAGATCATCCCCACCACGTTCTCACAGTTCTTCTTGGTTGGACAGAAGACCAGACAGGAATGTGCTGGAATGACTTCAGTCACCAGAGCGATGATGTGATCCGGATCCACCTTCTGCATGGAGCTGGAGTACTGAGGGAGGAGGACCAGTCCACAGTCCGATAGATGTTAGGAGGTACTTCATCAGTGCTGCATTCAGCTGAACAGAAACTAAAAACTGTTGATTTATAACAGACTTTATTTACCTTAAAGTTGAGAAGACGTGAGAATTTAAAACATTCCTCTTCATTTGGGTCGACTTCATAGATGGTGTCGTTCAGTTTAACGTACTCCTTCAGCTGGACCTGAACACAACACAGAACCGCTTTACTACTAATACTCAGTGGTGGGCCGTCAGGTCCAGCAAGGCCTTCTCTGCTGGCCTAAACAGAATCACAAAGTTATAGCTATTTTATAATTTAAATTTTTTTCTTAAATACACTACATGTATTATAATTTATAAATTTATTTTCCCCATTATCTTATGTTCTCATTGCACAGCTACTGTCTTCCTCAGTTGCTCTGCTTCCAGTGCAGCTTGTTTTAAGTAGAGCTTTTATCCAATCAGATCTCACCTCTGTGTCTCTAGGTAAGAACAGAGGCAGAGGCCTGCAGACTCACAAGTGCATCCATGTGCACTTTAAGTAAATGGGGACGATATTGTTAATTGTCATAGTGTTCAACCAATCAGATCTTTAGTTTGACATGTTGGGCGTATTCTTTGACGTATCAGAGCTGCTAGCTGGTCTACAACTACGTCAGCATTAACGGGCAGCTCAGTGTCCATGTGCAGCTCTGCATTGAGGTGCAGAGTGCGCTGTGATTGGTTAGTGGGCGAGCACGTGACTATCGCGAAACAAAATTTACAGCAGAGCTTAGTTGGAGGAGTAAGAGTTCAAATTGAAAGATATGGAAGAAATTATAATATTTTTAAGGTTTTACTTGGTGTAATTTATTTATTTTTTACTACTACTAATACTAATAATAATACTACTACTAGTCATACTATCAAAACTACTAATACTACTAATGTTAATACTACTACTACTACCACTAGTACTACTAATACTAATACTAATGACAAGTTCAATTCACTTACAGGCCTGAAGTCATTTGTGTAATTCTCTGCCCTCAGAAAGGTCTGCAGGTCTCTGATGTTTCCCAGAGTGGCGCTCATTCCGATAATCTGAGTACTTTCTGGAAAAGAGTCGAGAAGAATCATTTAATTCCAAAGGTTTTAACAACAGAGACTAAAGCGAGAAGACGTGACTTACTGGTAGTGTAGAGAACTTTGGCCAGCGTCATTTCAATAATGGCTCCTCTGCTGCCGTCACCCAACATGTGGAGCTGTAAGACACATGTGGACATTAAGCCTCTCACCTGTACCTTAGCTCACATCTGAACACCTGTGCTGGTTCACCTCATCCACCACCACCAGACCCAGGTCGTCCATCCTGCCGGTCTCGATCAGAGAGTTGACGAGGCTGTGGGCTTTCTCTATCGTAGCGACGTACACCGACCGGTTGTTTCTTCTCCTCACAGGAGGAAACCTTCCTTTACTGCCGGCGTACTCCTCCACCATGAAGTCCAGCTCCAGGCCGAAGCTCGCTAACCCCCGCACCTGCAGAAGAAGAAACAGAAGGTAGTTCCTAGTGGTTCAGAATGAGGTGCTTTGAAAAGGTTAGGAAAGGTGTCCCACAGGGCTCTATTCTGGGTCCTCTGCTATTCACTATAAACACAAATATCATCTCTGCCACTTTATAACGTAAATTTCTATGCAGGTGACACCATTTTATCTCCTCTTAATTACCTACAGCTTCTAATTAAAGGTCCGTCCACTCTCCTCCCAACAAAGTAGTCTCCTAGTGACGTGGAGGGATCGTGCTAGCTAGCAGTGGTGGGCTGTCAGGGCCTGCAAGGCCTTCTCTGCTGGCCTAAACAGAATCACAAAGCTATACCTATTTTATAATTAAATAATTGTTCTTAAATACACTACATGTATTGTAGATATTTTCCCCTTTATCTTATGTTCTCATTGCACAGCTACTGTCTTCCTCAGTTGCTCTGCTTCCAGTGCAGCTTGTTTTAAGTAGAGCTTTTATCCAATCAGATCTCACCTCTGTGTCTCTAGGTAAGAACAGAGGCCAGAGGCCTGCAGACTCACAAGTGCATCCATGTGCAGTTCAAGTGAATGGGGACGATATTGTTGATTGTCATAGTGTTCAACCAATGGCTCATGGCTACTTTTCTTTGTCAAAAGCTACTAGTGACAAATCTAGAGACTTGTTCTGGTGTTATTGGAGAATTTCCTGGTGTTTTGACGTTAAAGCACGTACGTTCTGCTCTGTGGTGAACGAGCAGCGGGTGCTGCCGTGAGCCCCTCCGCCGCCGCCCACAGAAGCCTCGTGCTGCAGTCCCAGCTGCAGTCAGAGCAGAGAGGAGACGCACTCTCGGCAGATAGTGTATCTACAGGTGTTGGCTTCATTTTTACACGAAACAAATAATAACTGTAGCTGTGTTTCAGCTGCAGGACAGCAGTGAAGGCCCAGGTATAACATGCACAGCCCACCACTGCTAGCTAGCTAGCTAATTCTTGTCTCAGTTGTGTTCTAGATCAGTGCCCCATATCACTCTTTCAAAGCTACTACTAGTTGTCAACCGGACCATAAATTGAATGGGAAAAATGTGGCAGCCGTCACCGTCCGGTAAGCACAAGGTTGGCGGTTCGATCCCTGGCTGCTACGTGTCCTGTGCCGACATGTCTTTGAGCAAAAACACAGAACCCCTAATCGCTCCTCGGGTGCTTCACAGCAGCCCACTGCTCCAGAGGTCAGACTTCATATATGTATCCATCTAATGTAAATGACGATTGCAATAATGAAGGACGCCAAAAGACTCTCTCTGACAGACTTCATTCTCTGAGAGGTCTCACACTAACAGTGAGACCACTCTTCCTTCTTGTGGTACCTTCTCCTGAACCAGCGAGATGTACGGTAAGATGAACAGACAGTCTTTCCTCCTGCACAGCAGCTCTCTGAGAACGAGGATCTCCGCAACCAGAGTTTTCCCTCCGCTGGTGGGCAGCGAGTAGATCAGGTTCCTCCTCTGCTGGACACAGTCCAGGTTCAGACACGTCTCCTGCCAGTCTGGAACAGGGAATACAAACACTCGTTCTCTGTTTGAAGAAACATGAAAGGAATCCACCGAGCAGCTCGTCTAAAGCTCACTGATCAACATGTTGGATCTGGTTTCTTTCATGTGGACAAGAAGTGTTAAAGGACACGTTTGGCTGTTTCTCCCTTGATGTCAAACTATTCCACTGAAACTACGTCTGGTTGCAAGTCAACAGAAAAATCGACAAACAAACAAACAATTATTGTCTTTATCAGTTAATCTGCAGTTGAAATGAAACAACTCGTCCATCGACAGCTGATTAATCAGCAGCTGTTATGATGATCAATTCATCATTAAAGTCATTTTTAAAGTAAAACAAAAAGTCCAAAATTCTGACACTAACTACAGCATATTAAGGCAGCTGTCAGTTCGTAAAAATGTATAACTATATTTTCGTGAACTTGTGTTTTTTATTCAGATTGAGGACTTTAATCTCAGATACTGAGAGTGCTCTCTCTGGAGGCCTCTGGCTCCAGATTAACACAACTGAATATCTTAGATTTTGGACTGTTGGTCGAACAAATGAAGACTTTTGAAGACGTTACCGTTGACTCTGAGATACTGAGGAGCTATTTGTTTTACCTTTTATAGAACAAATGAAAAACAATCTGAAGACTCGTCAATAATGAAATGATTGTTGATTACAGCGCTCGTCTGCCAATAATTTTCACAATTTGTGACTTTCAGAACATCCGTGGACCTCCTGCTAGTTGAAGCTAACCGTATAGATCCTTGATGCCTCTGAGTGTGAACATCAGCTCCTTCACTTTGGTGGGGAGTCCGTAGAACGGCCCGAGGTCGGTGGTCTCAGCACAGACCTCCTCCATGGCCTGCATGGCCACGCTGATCTCCTCAGAAACGACGGCTTCCTTCAGCCCGACGCTGTGTGAGACGCTGGACGGAGCTGCGGCGTTACAGAGCATCGTCCTCTTTATCTCCTCCGTCACACTCCTCCTCGCTCTGCTTTTATCCTCAGCGTCTCTGAGAGGAGTCGAGGTTTTGTCTCCGTCCTCCAGTCGGCTCCTCTTCGCGGCCCCGTCGACTTGCTCCTGAAACCGATGCTGGCTGGTCGGTAGGTCCTCGAAGGGTTCGTCTGTGAGGACGTCCAAGATGGAGTCCGTGAGGACGTCTTCGCGCGTCTGTCTGGCTCTCAGAGCAGTGAAGTCGGGCTGATCGTCACGACGTCGTTCATTCTGCTCGGCGGCGTCCAGCCTCGCCAGCAGAGAGCTGTCCTCCAGGATGCTGTCATAGTCCCCGAACAAGTCCTCGCTGTCACTGCAGTACTGTGAACACAACACCGACCTGTCAGTCAATGGTCCTCCAATCAACAGAGCCCAACTGATCAGCTGATTCATCAATTAGTCCATCACAGAGAAGACACTTCAGAGACATGTTAGCAGCTTCACCCTCCTTTAAAACCACCAGCAGCTGATAGATACCGGTTCTGACAGCCGATTGGTCAGTTAGACATGATGTCATTGACATACTATATTTATATGATCAACAATATCACTGATGTTTGAAGACTTCACCTTGTTTCAATGATTTAAATCAGACAAATATTTGTTTGATAATTGTTTGGTGAATAAATTGTCATAAAATAATCAAAGATGCCGATCAAAGTCTAGTTTCTCTTGTAAAATGTCCAAAACCAGGAGATATTCATCTTATTATCAGAGGAAGATTAAACCTTAAAACTAATAGTTTAACATCAATGCCTCTAAAATAAGTCAGAGTAAAATACATATTCATATTATATATATATATATATATGAATATGTATTTAAAATAACAGAGTACCTCAAAAGCTCGTCCCTCAGCCATGATGCTGCTGAGCCTCCAGTCTTTACATTTCTGTAGGCAGGTAGCTCCTCCCCTTTTCCTCACAGGTGTCCGGTGAGTCCTCAGGTCCTCCCTCGACCTCTTCCTCGAGGACACTCGTTTTATTTGGAGGTCTTGTCTCCCAGAAGCGTTCATCACCGGTTCATGTTAGCTAGTAAACACACACACCTGTACATCACTACCTGTTTATTCTTTAACTAGTTAACGTTAAGATAAATAACGATAAGTTGACCTACTTTACGTTAGCTCTCTCCTGGCAGTTGGACTCTTTGATTTGTTCCGTAAACGAGCTATTGTTCCACTAAAAACACAGCAAATTAATCTCAAACTTGCATAAAAACGTATAAAACTTTCCAAATTAATTATATTACTAATTCTGTAACTTAAAGCTTAGTTTTAACGAAGAAGGTTCAACAGCTCGACGAGCATCACATTCAAACATTGTCTCCGGTATCATCGTCATCGTCAGAGTAAGAGAGAAATCCTGCCGTCGTTTCTATCTTCGGTTTACCGGTTAACTAGCTAGCGGAGCTAACTGAGATCGCTTCCTTAGTTGTATTAGTTAATCTAAAGTAAACGTCTGATAAGTTACCAGATATCAAAGCTCATGATTACCAGATAACACACGTGTTTATTCGGCGCCATATTCCGCCTCTTAGCAGTTTATCTTCGTTGTACTGAGGATGAAAGTACTTATTATGTTACTGTTGATTAAAACAGGTGAAATCAAACGGACTCTGGCGAATGGTCACGTGCGTTACTCAATGTGACTACTACGTCTTTATAAACATTGAGTATATATTGTTGATTAAAGTAACAAGTTGTGTTAATGTGACCCACCCACTCACTCACTCCGGGGTCTTTCCTATCTTGTCTTGATATATCTTTGAGGAGGGTAACGTTTTATCTTTTCCGAAAGAAAAATTAAATTTGCGTTCATAGCAGAAACATAACATCTACGATTACAAAAAGAATCGCATATTAAAGCCATACTTACAATTAAAGCTACATTTGACATGTAATTTTCCTCAAATTAATGAGCAACAACTTTAAAGGTGGTAGGAACTAATTGTTAAAAAACTCAGCGAAGCACCGGAGTTCCTGGCGGACAACTTCCGGTACTGTCTCGGGTCACAATGCTCGCGCTGAGAGGATTAAAGAGGCTAAAGTCTGTTTTATCACAACACGGAAACACAAGTAGGACTTTATTATTATGTGTGAATGCTTATCAAGTTATCATAAACCATCGCTTTATTTATTTATTTTAATTATACGGTTAATTCAGTGATAATGTTGCTAATGCTAACCTTAGCATAAAAGCTGTTATTAACATTTAAATCTGCTCCTGCAGCTGTAAGAAGCGTCACAACGACGTCACATGAAGTGCGACACAAAGACGACACGGTAGGTTTCATATATATATATATATTTTATTTGAACACTTATTAGACTATTTATAGAAACTTTATATTATTTGTATTTAACATATTAACAAGACTACAATATATCGTAGTGAATACATGCGTAGAAATATTATCAAAAAATATTTAAATAAAATGAGGGATTTATACTAAATTAAATATAATTAGTTAATTACTGTGCATTAAATAAACCATATGAATAATTCTGAAATTAGTTTATTTGACCATTTAATAAATTCAGAATTTTTAAATTTTATTTAATAAGAAACTTCTACTAAAATCATGAAACATCACTAACATGTGATATTACATTTGTAATTTACGTTATGAGGTTGACCTGATTGTATTAATTATTATTATTATTAATATTTAACCTTCCTGTTGAAGCTGGTGAAGATGGAAAACCCGTTCAAAGAGCCTCAGAAAGGATGCGTCCTCTGCAGCGTCACAGTGGACTTCAAGAACACTCAGGTGAGTTACACACCTGGTCACACTTGTACATGCCTGTTCACATCTATTCATACCTGTTCAATAAGAAACATGACCTTGTTTCCTCGTCTCCTTCCCAGCTGCTGTCTCAGTTCATCTCTCCTCACACAGGTAGAATCTACGGTCGTCACATCACAGGTGAGCAGATCGACGTTAAACCGGATCAGAATCCCTCTTCAGGTCCACTCAGTCTCCTTTTGTTTCTCAGGGTTATGTGGAAGGAAACAGAAAGAAGTGTCCAAGGCCATAAAGAAAGCTCACTCCATGGGTACGTTTCACCAACTATCACATTTAATACAATGTCACATTTAATTCAATATCACATTTAATAAAACACTTCGGGTTCAGAGTCTTTGAGAGTCTCTGAACCCCGAAGTGGTTTTTCTGCTCGTCACATTTTACTGATTTTCTCTTCAAAATAAAAGTCCTGCTCCTCTACTGAAACAGAACCATGACTAGAAGTAGAACTTGTCTTTAGTGCAGAATAAGCTATGACATCAATCATTAAAAAAGAAACACAGGTTGAATTTCTTTGATCATTCTCTCTACAAATATAAATCCAACATGTTTCAAGTGTCTACAAATGTTAACAATGTTAGAAAGAGGCTCTACGTGTTATAAATATGAATCTATTGACATGTTTCTTCCTCCTCTCCTCTCTCTAATTATTGATATTTAAATGAGCTTTTCTCTCTCCAGGTTTCATGTCTGTGACCCACAAACATCCTCAGTTCATGAGGGACCCAAACATCTGTGGAATCAAACATCTGGATTAGTGATCAGTGTTTAATAAAGCTGTCAGAACTCTGAGGTCACATGGGTCATTATTTTATCAGTTAATCGTTCTTTCATATTTTGTATTAAACATCTGAAAAGAGCAAAAAAATTTATATCAAAAATATTCAACTCGCTGAAATATAAGAAAACATTTGAGAAGATGAAACCATCAAATGTTTGTTTATTTCTCTAAATATTTGCTGATTAAAGATATTTTTTTATTTGATCAACATGTTAAAGTGTTCGATACATTCATCAGTAGTTAGCTTATGTTAGCATAGCAGGCTAACATAAGCTAACTTAATGCGGTGTTCACAACAAACGCGGCGCGAATGCCGGTCTCGCCGGGGACTATTTGTGTTCATGTTGTGTTAGTTCTCTCCGCAAGACAAGAAAATGCCTTCTAAAATACTTGTCTTCTCAATGGAGTCTGGATCGATCGGTGCTATGCTAAGCTAACACTGTAGCAGCTCCATCAACACTCAACATAACGTCACATATGCGTAAATACGGCGGCGTCTATTCATTGTTTGTACCATATGGTTTACACACACATTTATACACAGTTTGGTCTATTGATATGAGGGATCGTAGAGCTCTGGGTGAACACAGACGGATACAGTATTTATTTCCTGATTCAACAACGGCAGGAAGTCAGTGATGACGGGGGAAGCATCTCAACGCCGATAGGCTATCGCGCCGAAGTTTTCGCGTTTAGTGTGAGCACACCTTAAGATAGTGGACATGACACCAGCTGAGCATTAGCATGTTAGCATGCTAACATAGCAATAAAACTAGTTGCTATTAATTAAATTAACAAACAGTTTTTAACATAAATCATCTTTATCATTTTTAAACATTGAAGAGAAACGAGGATTGAATCCACGTTTGACTTCCGTCATTTTATTCTGAAGGCTGGCTCTTCCTGCGTTTCCTGTCCCGCCCCCCCGACATCTCCTTTGGTCTCTTCCTGCCAGACCTCGTTTCAGGAGACGGTGTCATGGAGACGGCATCAGGAACAGGAAGTGAGTCCAGAGTCAGAGTGTGAGAGTGAAACGGAGGAGAGCACAACAGAGACCTGAAGACCTGCTGGAGGACCTGGTCCCTCTGATCCACGGGACCACCTGGAGACAGAGACAGAGACAGACCTGAACCAAGACAGAGACCTGAACCAAGACAGAGACTTGAGACCTGAACCAAGACAGAGACCTGAGACCTTTATTTATTAACGATGAACACAGTAATAAAATATCTGCTCGATGATATTTAAATGTTTTACAAATCATTTAGTAAAAATGAACAAATACTACATGTTAATCATCATTTATTTGTGTGAATAGTAAAATAACTATTAACTAAAGTTTATTTAACTATAAATTTGTTTATTATTTGTAAATTGAATTGTCTGAACAATAATATTTCGTAAAAATCAAACCTTTTCCTGCTGAACTTTTCTTCTTCTCAACAAGTTTCCTCCTGAGAGTCGAAACGTCACTCTGGAGTGTTTCTACGAGACGTTCACTCTCCTCCAACGTCCTGCAAGCTTTCTGTCAATGAGGAGAGTGAGACGTTAAAACACACCAGACGATGAGAGTGAGACGTCGAAAACACAGACGATGAGAGTGAGATGTCGAAAACACAGAAGATGAGTGTGAGATGTCGAAAACACAGAAGATGAGTGTGAGATGTCGAAAACACAGAAGATGAGTGTGAGATGTTAAAACACAGAAGATGAGTGTGAGATGTTAAAACACAGAAGATGAGAGTGAGATGTTAAAACACAGAAGATGAGAGTGAGATGTCGAAAACACAGAAGATGAATGTGAGATGTTAAAACACAGAAGATGAGAGTGAGATGTTAAAACACAGAAGATGAGAGTGAGATGTTAAAACACAGAAGATGAGTGTGAGATGTTAAAACACAGAAGATGAGAGTGAGATGTCGAAAACACAGAAGATGAG